TAGCCTTTTTTACTGCTGCTGAGCATTAAGCTGAAGTTTTCAGAGATCTATCCACTGTGACTCCAGGATCTCTTTCTTGAGTGGTAACAGCTAATTTAGACCCCGTCGTTATGCATGTGTAGTTGGGATTACCCCGCTATTCTGATTTTTTTGGTTTTCTGGCCAAACTAAAAAATCTATTATCCTCCCAGCCCTAGGTGGACATGATAAGATTTCTCATATTCGGTAGCCCTCAACAATAATAAAAAACAACAACTGTGCCTCTGATATGTGAGTGTTACATAGATTTTTTTTTCTAGCAATCATTGTCTTGGAGATGATTGTTACATGGGAAATGCTCTTTCTGTCATAACATAATTTGAATAGTTATGGAGTCATTGTTAGGCTCAATGGTTGATTGTTTACATTATTAGCAATATATAATTAGAAGTAGCATACTATTCACTTGAATGCATTGTTTGTTTGTGTATTAAAATTAATGGCATGAAAGAAAACACAAGACATGAAAAGTAGTTACTATTATGTGAGGAGTTACTGAGTGGTGCTGTTAACACATAATCTTACAAATTCTTTTTCTTAGCATGTGAACAGTGTATAGTCTTCGAATAAATGCTGTATTTTTGTTACATTTGCAATGGAGATTCTTTGGGGGTAGTTGTTGCAAACTGCAAGTGTGGTTTGCTTTCTGCCCTAATCTCTCTAACTAGAGATAATTGCTTGGAGTAGAGTGGCTTCCTGGGAACCAGGCAGTAGAGTTAGGGCTGAGATTCCTGAGAGAGGGAATTGCATGTATGTTGTTTGTGAACCACTGTAGTTCAAAAGCAAGTGCATAGAGTGTAAATAAATAACTTGAAATTAAGAAAATATCCTGACTTGGCATCCTTGATTTCTCCTCCAAAGGGAAGCCAACCTGCCAGGCCTCAAAGTCTGCTTCCACTTAGCACAGAGGCAACTATCTATTTTCTAAAAGGAGTCTTAGTAGAAGAAAATGCTTCCAGTGGGGCCCATATGTGCTTCTAAATCAAGGGCTGTCAGCATTCAACACCTGTTTTAAGATTCTAGACATGATTAGAGGAGGGCAACTTGTAGTAGGCAGGAGCTTCAGTTGCACTATAGAATCAAAGCTTGATAGGGCTGTGACCGGGTGTCTGGATGGGCCACACTGAGAATGCTACACTCAGGGCAGATTGTAGGGAATAGGGAAGACCATCTCCAAAACTGATAATTTATTCTATAATGAGATTCACCAAGCCAGTAACAAAACAGCTTCTGTAACACCACATTGATTAGCAAGAAGCCAAATACTGTCCCCTTTAAATTCTAATCCTTGGTTCCCATCTAGACAGCCAAGTCTAATATAGTGAGGGGTTACTGAAAACTGGATTCACCATATGTGAGGTTCACCAATCCCAAAGGACCGGACACTTATCCCCAGGTCATTATGAGTCTCAGATCTTACCCAGTAATCGCGCAGATGCCTTTCCTTTAGTAAGTAAAAGACTAAAGGTTTAATAATAAAAGGAAAAAGAAAGAAAAAAGTTGCAAAAGGCTAAAAGATCAATATACATACAAATATGTGTAAAATCCTTAAGTCAGTTTCATAGCAGAGATGGTGAGGCTGCTGATTTATACAAGCCTTTCTGGAATCAATCTAAAAAGTTTTTGTCCAATAGACAGTCCAGGTGTAGAGTACAGTAACTCCTCACTTAATGTCCTCCCGCTTAACGTTGTTTCAAAGTTATGTCGCTGCTCAATTAGGGAACATGATCATTTAAAGTTGTGCAATGCACCCTTATAACGTTGTTTGGCTGCCTGCTCTGTACACTGCATGTAAGATTTTGTGGAAGAGCAGCGACTTTACAAGGGAGCATTGCACAATTCCCTCTTCTCGGCCTCCTCCCCCTCCCTCCCAGCACTTCCCCCACCTCCAAACAGCTGTTTAGCGACGCTTAGGACTTTCTGGGAGGGAGGGGGAGGAGCGGGGAAGTGCTGCATCTCCACTCCTCCCCCTCCTTCCCAGAAAGTCCTAAGCGCCGCCAAACAGCTGTTTGGTGGTGCTTAGGACTTTCTGGGGACGGGGAAGGAGCGGGGATGCAGCATGCTCTGGAGAGGAGGTGGAGTGGAGGTGGGAAGAGGTGGGCCTGGAGTGGAGTGGAGGTGGGAAGAGGTGGGCCTGGAGTGAAGTGGGGATGGGAAGAGGTGGGCCTGGAGTGGAGTGGGGATGGGAAGAGGTGGGCCTGGAGCATCCCCCAGCAAAGTCAGCGCCTGTTCTTCTCCAGGTAAGCTGCCACTGCTGCTGCGAAGGTGCTTCCTAGTGTCCTTGCCTGCAGCGGGCTGTGCCTGTGTGGGGTAAGCCAGGGGCACTTCCCAACCACAGTACAGTACAGTAGTGTACAGTATATAATGCCTTTTGTCTGCCCCCAAAAATTTCCTTGGAACCTAACCCCCCGCATTTATATCAAATCTTATGGGAAAATTGGATTCATTTAACATTGTTTCACTTAAAATTGCATTTTTCGGGAACATAACTACAACTTTAAGTGAGGAGTTACTGTATGTTCAAGTCTTTCCTTGCATTTCCAAAACGTTATTTGGAAGCTCTCTGTCTTATGACTCAGACTTTCCCTGTTCAGAGTTTAAGCAGACTGTAAATGGCAGGATCAGGTGCAGAGCTTTTCTCTATAGTTCCCTAACAAGCCTCTTGTCACAGCAGGACGTGAATAAGCAGTGCAGATTGTTGCTTTGAAGCTAATCTTCTATTTCCTGTGCATACACAGGTAAACTAGTCACATTCATTCACATAAGGCAATTAGCCGGCAGTTCATTATAGCATAGACAATTAAGTTGAAGAGAATATAGATAATATGATTAGTTTTATGTAGTATCTTACATCTTTGATTTTAAGGTTAACTGACCCATTCACATGCATATTATAAAGCAGTTAAGACATGAAGGGAATTAGCATCTATAAACTAACCTGGTTACATTGTTAAACTTCTAACAAGATACAGGTAAACACAGACAAATACACTTAGCATCTACCCTTGATTTCTATTGCTGCAAATAAATGGGTTCATGATTACTGGTCTAGAGCATCTCTTTGAAATTCATATACAAGTACATTGTCTTGATAACATTTCAGAGCCTCTTGTTAAGTTGTTATGGGTCATACCCAAGTTGACCAGTCTGTCAATGTCACAAGGGCGTATTGCAGAATTCCAAAAGATGAAGGAATAAGCACCATTTAAACTATGCTAGGATATGGCTGGAGAAGTGTAAAAACGAAATATAAAGATTACACTTATTTCTGTTGCCCTATTGTCAAGGTTCCTTTCCCACTCTGAACTCTAGGGTACAGATGTGGGGACCTGCATGAAAGACCCCCTAAGCTTATTCTTACCAGCTTAGGTTAAAAACTTCCTCAAGGTACAAACTTTACCTTGTCCTTGAATCCTATGCTGCCACCACCAAGCGTGTTAAACAAAGAACAGGGAAAGAGCCCACTTGGAGACGTCTTCCCCCCAAAATATTCCCCCAAGCCCTACACCCCCTTTCCTGGGGAAGGCTTGATAAAAATCCTCACCAATTTGCATAGGTGAACACAGACCTAAACCCATGGATCTTAAGAACAATGAAAAAGCAATCAGGATCATAAAAGAAGAATTTTAATTAAAGAAAAAGTAAAAGAATCACCTCTGTAAAATCAGGATGGTAAATACCTTACAGGGTAATCAGATTCAAAACATAGAGAATCCCTCTAGGCAAAACCTTAAGTTACAAAAAGACATAAAAACAGGAATATACATTCCATTCAGCACAGCTTATTTACCAGCCATTTAAACAAAAGGAAATCTAATGCATTTCTAGCTAGATTACTTACTAACTTAACAGAAGTTCTGAAGAGCATTCCTGACCTGGTCCCGGCAAAAGCATCACGCAGGCAGACAGACCCTTTGTTCCCCGCCGCTCCAGCTTTGAAAGTATCTTGTCTCCTCATTGGTCATTTTGGTCAGGTGCCGGCGAGGTTATCGGAGGTTATCCTAGCTTCTTAACCCTTTACAGGTGAAAGGGTTTTGCCTCTGGCCAGGAGGGATTTTATAGTTCTGTATACAGAAAGGTGGTTACTCTTCCCTTTATATTTATGACACCTACAAAATATACACACCGGTCAATACAATTTTTTTTATCACATTCCCCCTTACAGTTAAAAGGGAACATCACAGATCATACCCCAGTCTAAGATCATGCCCCAGTCTCTCTCTGTGTGGAGACCAGTTTTGTGAACCCTTATCAATTCATGATGATTAGATTGCTTAGATAGAATACCTGAAGAAAAAAAGAGACCATTCTAAAGGATAGTTTTCAATATGTTGAACTTAGAAATAAATGTAACATTAAAAGCGGCTTCATGGGACAGGATGCGGTGAGAGAGAAGAAAAGTAGGATGGATATGGGGTATCATAACCATAAAGGCCTCTTTTGTACCTCTGTCATCCCGCCACCTCCAGCCAGTATGAGCTTTCTGTATTTTCTGGTTTGAATGACCCATCCCTCCCTGTTTTGTGACCGGCCTGGAGGGGAGATGAGTGATGGGAAAAATAGCTGAAGTGATTGAACTTCCATACAGGTTATTGGAACCTTAGTTCAAAGAGACAGATAAATTGTAGTCATCCAGGCTTTGGGACTTACTTCCAATTTCCCTCATAACATAATTGCATGTAAAATGTTGTTAAAAGTAAGACTACATGTCTAACAAGTACAGTTTGGTATAGTAGGAGTGAGATGCATTTGAGTGCATGGGAGTGAGATGCATTTGCACCTACAGTATATACATGGAATAAAGACAATCTTGTTTTGCAATTTTATATGAGTGGATTCCTGGAATGTTTGTTTTACTTATCTGTATATCTTCATCAATTAAAGTTTGACATATTTCCCCCACAGGTTACCAAAATTGAATTGTTTTAAACATTGTTTCTTTTTCTTTTCTGTTATTAAAGATGAGCTGACTAGTATCCTTAAAAAATTGTCACTTGAGAAATATCAGCCTATTTTTGAAGAACAGGAGGTAAGTCAGTTTTTTATTTTTGTTTTTTAAGTTTTAAGTGTTTCAGTATTTTATTTCAGCATTTTAGCATGAATAATCTATTGATCTGTTTAAAACCTGTATTTTATTATCCAAGTAAAATCATGGCTCTGTGTTCACTACAGCTGTGCAGTTTGCAGCACAATTTACTCTTTGCTGCAGAATTGTTATCTAAAAATCTCAATTTTCATTAAAAAAAAAGACCTGGATTCTTTCAAGTATTTCTGGTGGCAGCAATAACCCGGAAAATGTGAACTGAATTTTAACAGATACAGCGATGAGTCTGCATAATCAGGAAGACAGCATGAAACAACAAATCTGAGAGGTGTGAGCTACTCCCTTCATCTCAGTCAGGTCTCCCTGGATTCTGTCATCCTGTGGCTGTGGAATGTGACATTTTCCCAGAATGCCATAAAATTCAACATGTTTGCCACTGAATCTGCCATAGTGCCACAAACCAGATGTCCAACTTTTTTTTTTAGTCTGGCACCTGTGAGCAGCTCTCTCTTCCTGTGTATCTCTCCACACAATGGCATTAATTGGGTTATACTCTATATTCCTCTACACTGCTCCACAAAACCAAAGCTGGAATCCAGTGTACAACCAGAAGAGCCAGCAGTGCAGAGAGAACAGTGCTTGGGGAAGCCAAGAAGATGAGCCACTGAAGTGGGCTACTATCTCCTCCTTTTCCTGAACAGATGAGGGATAGGATGTTTGAACTGGACCATGCAGACAGCGCTGTGGCAGCTGAAGAACTGGGCTGCATGGAGAATGCACGAAAACCATCGTTGAAAATAATCATCACATCTTTTTCATCAATGAGTATTTTCCACTCTGAGTCAAAATTGTGTGCTTGTTTGTAGACGGATAGAGGATGAGAATGAAGAGTACTTCATGGACATACAATAAATGAACATTGCCACAGAATGTCTGGGTGCAAGTAGAAGAATTTGGCCCCATTGTACCACAGAGTGTTCAGGGTCACGCGTAAAGGTTATTCAGTTCAGCCACAAAATATTGGGCTTGAATAATATTCACCTATATAATAGGGAAGGTAATTGCCTCCACTGTAAGAATCACTGGGTGAAACGCCATGTTGTGTGTTATATAACACATCAGACTAGATGATCATAATGGTCCCTTCTGGTCTTAAAATGTCTGATCTGAATTTTCGGTAGTGACTCAGTATGTTAGGTGCCACAGTTTCTGGATACCAAACTGAGACACCTTACATGGGCCTAATTTGCACAAAATGCTGAGCACCCAGCTTCTGAAAATTAGGTCCCAAAAACAATTCTGACCATGACAGTTTGAAAAGCTTATGTTTATTTAATCCAGACCTGAAGAAGAGCTCTGTGTAAGCTTAAAAGGTTGCCTCTTTCACCAATAGAAGTTGGCCCAATAAAAGCTATTACCTCACCCACCTTGTCTCTCTAATATTCTGGGACCAACGCACCTACAACATCACTGTGAACAAAGGTATATTGTAACAGACAAGGGTGTTGAGCTAGGCGCACACTAAAGAAAAGTTATTTTGAGAAGTGCAAAAACAGACTATATATTATGGGCAGAAAGGCCCCCTTACACTTCTCTCCACAGCTGCAATTCTATACACACTTGAACACATGCATTTAAGTTTGCACACATGAGCAGGCTCACTGAATGGGACTATTCATGTGCATAAAGGCAATCATGTATTTTCAGGGTCAGTGCCCAAAAATGTAAGTGAATTTTTTTGAGCATTATACTTTGTTGTGAGCGTCTAAAGTTAAAGAAGGAAGAGAAATAGCATGTGGCATTTTGGGTTTTGTGGAACATATTTTGCTATAATATAAATCTGTTTTTTTTCTCCTAGGGAAATTTTGGTTTGTTTTATCCAATTATTTAATGAAAAGGAAAGCTGTGCTCTGCAAGTCTGAGAATAAAGTGATAAATAGGAAAAAACAGCACCAGTGTTTCAAAAAAATCAAAGAATATTAATTATAAAATTAATCAAGAAAGAATATTAATTTTAAAATATGCATATGCTATGTATGTAGAGGTCATAATGTGAAAAATGGAAAACTCATTTTATCACATGCTTATAAATGCATCACTTAACTGTATTCCATTTCCCTGGAGCTTTTTCTGACATTCCATACTCCTCAGCTACTTTAAAGAGCTTCTTTTTTTCCTTAAACCTCCTCCAAGAGAAATATTTCCTTCTCCCCCATGTCTCAAATTGTGTAATTGTCCCCAAAATTATCTACCCAAAAAACTAGAATTGGCAAGATTTTGTCTTCGGCCAGTAACAGCTTTTCTAGATACATAAAAATGTCATAGCTTTGAAATCCAACATTTCACCAACAAGCAGGACTAGAAATGGGAGTTTTGTACCACTGAGTAGGAGTACTTTTCAGCTTGCCAGTGGGATATATAGCAGTTGCTTCTAGCCCTAAGAGGGCCTGATGTAATGGATTTTAAAGCAGTGGTGGTTTTATGTTTAGTTTTTCTATTTTAGTTCATTTTAGCAAGTATTTAGCATTTATTACCTTTAATGTTTCCCTCCTTAGGAGTCTTGCACAGTTTGATACATGATTACCAAGACATCTGCCTTTACGGGTAGAAGGCTGTAAGACATAGTCCCAATTAAAACTCTATAAAATAGTCCTAAAATTCGTTTTTCTGCAATATGTATATAGAGTACATGATGGTATGATATAATATAAATGTTAGTAGCATCTTATTGTTCTGTTAAAATGAGATTGATAGCTAAGAGAGTGATAGAGAGAGATAAGGTGATGATGTCACTAGATATGACCCCATACAGGACACAATGTGGTATCTAATGTGATGTTATGTCCTAAACCAGTCCCCTAATTTGGGATCTAATCTGATACCTTCTTCCACCTGACACTAAATTGGAAGCCCTGCCATACCAAGGGAGCAAAACCACCAGGCTTTGGTTTATGGCCCAGAATTGATAAAATCACTGACTAATTAATGGTGCCACCCCAAGAAATTATGAGGAAAAAATAGGTAAAAGCAAGAAGACAACTAAAATATAAAAAGAGAGGTGTTTTAAAATACTTGCAAAAAGACCTGTTAAGGACATTTGTAAATGTAAATGTTAAATTAAAAACTCCTCTGTTTTTCCCCACATAATAATTGGAGAGTTGTAAAAGAACTACATATTTATAATGATACACTATAATAATCTGAGATACGTTATATATTTTAATTGTTTTTATTTAGGAAGAAAATTAGATGTTTTAAATTTAAAAATAAACAGAATTGATAATAATATAGAACTCATGAACTGGAGTAACTGTAATTGTGGGAAATAGATATCCAGTGACGGTTTAATAAGTAGAAGGACACATCCAGTCACATCTTTAGAAAATTTTAGGCAGTTATAACTAGACTTTATACAGCACTCTGTGGCTTCAAATTGTGGTAGAAGCTTTAACAATGCCTGTAACATCCCCGTGAGACTGGTAGGTCATGGGTTCTGCATACCCAACTGTAAAAACTGAGGTTTGGTGCAACCTACTCAAGGGCACCCAGTGTAACAGGGCAGAGCAAGGATTAAGAATGGGGATACCCTGGATACCAGACCTGTATTCAGCCATTCTGAGGTTATGAATTACACATGTGTGACAACAAGGCGTGTATCCATGCCAAAAGGAGAGCATTGTGATATGAGAAGTAGCTCACCCAATCACTGCCTTTGCTTTACAGCTAATTTGAATGCAGCAATTCCATTGGTTGTCTGGAGACTGCACAGATGATGGATTTCCTGGCCCAATTGCCACACCTGTTTGAGAACATGGGGTTTCTGCTTTTAGTATATAAGTAACATAAAATAAGTTCATAAAGTTAGATATATATGAGAGAGAACCAATCTGCACAATAAATGTATACCTGTGTATCTTTTTTCCAAAGGTGGATATGGAAGCCTTCCTCACACTTACTGATGGTGATTTGAAAGAGCTGGGTATTAAAACTGATGGATCAAGGCAGCAAATTCTAGCAGCTATTTCTGAACTGAATGCAGGAAAGGTAGGTATGGTTTGAAATAAGAAAACTGATAAACTAGTTTTTCAGATTTGCTTGTGTTTCAGATCCAAACAATGGATGTTGAAAAAAACCTTAGTTTTATAAACAAGCTATTTAATGTAAATTATTTGTGATAAACATTATATTTCTTTGATATTTCCAGGCCTCCTCCATTAATTCCTTCCTTGTTCAGTAACTGGACAGTTATTCACTTTTTGTACTCATTCATAATAATAAGAAGCTAGTGGTGATTTAAATATTGGTCATATTACAGCTATTTGGCCTTCAACCATCATGATGTCAAAAAAAATTCTATAATTTATCCTTCCCTAGAATAAAGTTGTGCCTATCAGCCTTTTGGTCTCCTTTCAACTGGACTCATATAGCATTTCTCTCAGGCAGCACAGTTTTGTTGTCTTCTTGTTTGGTATTTACAGTTAGATGGAAATAAGGAGAAAGGCAGAAAAAAGGAGAATTCCCTACAATGGATTTCTTTAGTCACAGACTGTGAGCTGGTGCATCTCTGCAGCTAAGTCTTATGGTTCTTCTCAAGTCTTTCAACTCCAAGTTCCATTCTGTCTTTGATCTTTTATACCAATCCAGGCATACAGGACATTAAGGACTTGGCTACACTTACATTTTATAGCGCTCTAACTTGCTGGCTCAGGGGGGTGAAAAATCACCCCCCTGAGCACAGCAAGTCAGAGGGCTTTAAAGCGGGAGTGTAAACAGGCTCCGAGCACTGGCAGCCACATTCCCAGCGCTCGGAGCTAATCCCCTCGTGGAAGTGGATTACCAGGAGCGCTGGGAGACCTTTCTCCCCGCGCTTGTGCGCGACCACACTCACGCTTCAAAGCACTGCCACGGGAGCACTCCCGCGACAGCGCTTTGAAGTTTCCAGTGTAGCCATGCCCTTAGACTTTTGATCACATCAACCCACATTGCGAAAGCACTATTTGTGGTTCCGTTTCAGGAGTGCTCTCTAGCTGTATCTATCTGTAACGAGGTCGAGACTCACCAGCACGGCGCCTCCTGCTGGTCATCCTGGGAATTGCTCAACTCCAGAGCACCTCCTGATGGCCGGTGTCTCACCTGCCACAGGCCCCTGTGTCCCTTCTGGACCCCGGTGCCCCTTTACCTTGGGATTCTGCCCCCAGCAGTACCCCCTTATTCTGGGTTTCCAGGGGAACCCCCAGTCATCTAAACCCAGCTCACCTCAGAGGCTACTGCCAGTCGTCATCTAGCCCCTGTTCACTGGGGCAGACTGCAGTGTAATGGCCACTCATCATTGGCAAGGTGGGTTGGACCAGCTGCCTCTGCCCAACCCCGGGCTGCACCTCTGTAACCCCAGTACCTGCTTTGTCCTTTAGAAAGGCCTCAGCCTGGGGATTTGCCAGGCCTGAGCTCCCCAACTCCTCTTGCCTTTCCCCAGCACTGCTCTACCTCCGGTACCCTGAGCTCCCAGACAGCCAGGTCCTTCTCTCTCCACTGCTAGAGAGAGAGGGACCCAGCTCTTCCCTGAGCCCTTATAACAGGGCCAGGTGTGGCCTGATTGGGGCATGGCCCCAGCTGTGGCTGCTTCCCCCATCAGCCTAGCCTTTCTTTACCCAAGTGGGGTAACTTCCCTGCTACACTATCCTTATGTAAATACTTAAGGTGCCAGTAGACTGTACTGCAAAATATGTAGCCTAGTGTGTAGGTTTTTCATGAACATAAAATTTGTTGTTGTGCACTTGTGACGTTCCCCCTGTGTTATCCAGACCAGAAACCTGCTAGGTCACTCCAATCCTTGACTCTGGGAGCCAGCCTTACCCTGCTCTGCTGTGAGAACCTCCACTCCTGGGCTGTTCACGCACAGCCTCTGGCATGTAAGCTGCTCCTTGGATTGTGCAACCAAATAACACTAGCCAATAACGCTGGTCCCAGACACAGCCCTAGCTAGGAACCTCTGTCTTACAGTGTCCAGTTATGCCCGCTGGATGCTACAAGCTTATATGGGTTCGTCAATTTAACAAAGAAATTGATATGTACCAGGCTTGTTATCCCAAGGAGAGTCTCTGACACACTTCAAACCAAACACACTGCTTCAGGTAGAATTAAGAAACAGATTTATTCACTACAAAGATAAATTTTAAGTGATTATAAGTCAAAGCATAATAAGTCAGATTTGGTCAAATGAAATAAAAGCAAAACATATTCTAAGCTGATCTTAACACTTTCAGTGCCCTTATAAACTTAGATGCTTCTCACCACAGGCTGGCTGGTTGCTCTTCAGCCAAGCTCTCTCCTTTGATCAGCACTTCAGTCGCTTGATGTGGTGTCTGTAGATATAAGTGGAGGAGAGAGAGAGCCCATGGCAAATGTCTCTTCTCTTTTATCATATCCTTTCTTCCCTCTTGGCTTTGCCTCCCTCCCCCTCCTTAATCACTGACAACACCTCTCCTGCCCCTGCACTTGAGGGCATGTTGTCTTCTGCTGGAAAGGAGCAAGTCTCAGCCCCTCCCATACTTGGAAGCACACTGCTTCCCTGTGTTACAGGGTCACAGGAATCCTCACCCACCTTAGTGGTTTCTGGGATCCCCTGCCCCTGCTCTGGGACACATTGCTCTGTGCTCCCTAGAGCCAGTTTTGCCTCTGGTTCAGCTGCGACCTGCTAGCAGCTAACAACTTGGATAGTTCTTTCCCTGGCAGGCATTACACCCCTATCCCTTCCTGATGTGGTGTTGCCTCCAGCTGCAGTGCAGGAGTTGAACTCAACCACCCTCCCACCTGGGAGCATGTGGCTTCCCCCAGCTGCAGAAGAATCAAGGAGACTCTTTCCCATTCTCTCATCAGTTCCTGAGACCTTACCCTTTCCTTCAGGGTCCAAGCATAACACTGCTTCTTGCTGCAGGCAAATACTTTAACCTGAGCTACACAGAAAAAATTATTACCAAGGAGCAGGTCGACTAGGAGGCATTCCATTATCCCCACAGTCAAAACACTTCCCAAATCTTCCCAGAACATATGGATTTTAGCTAGTGGCATGAGGAATCTGCTTTCGCCCACCCCCACAATCTCTGCCATTTGGCCATACTGGCAAATGGCCTTTGGCCTTTGGGACCACACTCTGCTTAACCAGAGAGATCTAGGCCCCTGTATCCCTCTGCCCCAAGTACTCCCTGCCATTAATTTTGACAGCCTTAACATGCCCCATATCTGGTTCTGCAGAAGCTAACCTCACAGAACCAATATGGTAGGGTTCAATTGCTTGGGGGGTTTCTGTGTTGAGGACAGCAGAACTAACATGAGCTATTGGTTGCCTGCTTCCTCCTAGCCCAGGGCATTTATTCCTCAGGTGATCAGTGGAATTACACTGATAGCACCTTTTGGGCTCTTATGCTTTTACAAGAGATTTGGAATGAGAGTTACCGGTAGAGGAATGTTTTTGCGTAAGAGAGTGTTTAGGCTCCCAACCCCCTTCTCTCTTCCCAGGGATCCTCCCTTCCCACCAGTTTAGGGTCGGGGGGTTCTGGTTCTGCTTCTCTAGAAGGTCCAGTTGGTGTTTTCGCTCTCTTTCCCTCTCTCTTTTTCTTCCATGGCCCTTCTGTGTGCAGCCTCCTCTCTGGCTGCCTCCCTGGCTGCTTCTTTTTCTTTTTCTTCTCTCTCTCTCTTTTTGCTTTATCTCCAGTTCTTTCATTTGCAATAATCTCTGGTGCTCCCTCTCCTTTTCTGCAATCTGCAGCCTAAAAAGCTCCAACTTCCCAATCGCTTCATTGCTTTCACTCATTTTCCTGCTTTTCTGTTCCTACTTCCCTTTCCTGAAATAAGCAAATAGAAAATAACAAAACTGTGACCTCCCCCGACTGTTCTTAGCCACTGCACTTAAGACTCACTTAAAATCACAAATATCAGTGTTTAAAGTGTGAACTTCACTTGGAGTAACAAGCTGCACATACACCCTGCTCACTGTGCCACTGTGACGTTCCCTGTGGTGTTATCCAGACTGGTGATCTGCTAGGTCACTCCAATCCTTGACTCTGGGAGCCAGCCTTGCCCTGCTCTGCTGTGAGAACCCCCACTCCTGGGCTGTTCACTCACAGCCTCTGGCATGTAAGCTGCTGCCAGCTACTTGCAACCGAATGGCACTAGCCAATATCTCTGGTCCCAGACACAACCCTGGGAATCTCCAGCTTGCAGCGTCCATGGACTGTAGGGCTAGAAGAACATGTTTGCACCTCTATCTACCAGCTATTCCCAATAGGTTCCATGGCCATGAGGCTGGGCACACAATGTCTACAGTACGGCTCTGTGAAGGCAAAGTAAGGAAACAGAATTTCTTTTTTTTGTTTTCAATCCAAGTAAATCTGAATTGTATAATTTCCAAAATTAAGAAAATAAAATAAAAACAATTAAATATATATTGCTTTGTGTTTGCAGAGTATAAGTTTTGATTATGTTCAATTCATATGATAATTGCTTTCCAGGATAGACACAAATTTTCATATTTATGTTTAACCTTTATAAATGTATTATCGAATGAGAAATTTAAGAATGCCTTTTTTGTTTGTCTGTTTCTTTTACAGGGACGAGAGAGGCAGATTTTACAAGAAACTATACACAATTTCCACTCTTCCTTTGAGAGTAGTGTTAGTAATACCAGACCTCCTGGCAATTCTCAGTGTAAGTATTATTCATATGTTGTTGGATCAACTTCAAGCAATTTTTCTTAAATCAGGGTAAAGTACAATATGTGCAAACATACTATGTGTTGGTTTAAAGATTCCTGCATTTCTTTCTCTTTCAGACTGTAGTGAAGATTTCAAAGTAAAAAGGCAGAAAGTTTATAAGATTTTTGTATAGGGATAGTATTTATGTGTTTCAAACACATTAGTGTGTATTTGGTTAATTCAGAACTTTTTAAATTGACAATGCATTGCATTTTACATTGAAAGCCACTGGGGGGGGGGCATGTTTTTCATATGAGGTAGGTCTCAACTGCATAATGAGATAGCTAGGGTTGCTCCTTGTCTAACCCTAGAAGCAGACCAATTTCTCGCCTCTTATGGTCATCAAATAGGCTATGTAGTGGAGTAATGGCTACTGTACTTGTTGTGCTGCATTTTTGCAGTACATGAACATCAGTGCTGAGCCCTGCCTCTTACATTCTGTATGGAAAGAAGAGGAGATCATTTGGACATTGCTAGTGAGTGTCTCCAGACCCACATGGAGAAACTCTGCTTTCTGTAAATTCACGGTTACAGAAACTTTTGGAAGACTGACAATTACTTCACCTCCAGCCAAGGCTAACTGGCCTTATGCAGTTTCTCCTGCTGGGGGTCTTTATGATGGTATAACAGCTCTCTGATCCTTCTATGGCTGCAGAGTCTGCAAATATCCGGGATCCCATGGCAGATTTGCAGTGTAGGTCTGTCCCAAGCAGTAGAATCAGTTATTTTGCCAAATGTAGGAAATAACCAATTCCATTATTTTTCCATGCCCCCAAACCCCTTGTACTGGCCATGAGCAACTTCTGTCACTTGAATGACAATTGGACCCTCTGTATAGGACAGTAACCTCTAGTTCCTCTACCTGAGGACAGTTCAGGCTCCCAGTTTAGCAATTCAGCAACTTGACTCAACTGGCTCTCTGTTATAGACGTTATAGTTTTCTGGGGCGATTACTTTTAGTTGGTGTAGCTGCAAGGTTGCTGTTTTAGTTAGGACAGTGGTAACAATTTCCCCACAAATCCTGGAATCCCCACAAAGCCTCCCAAATACACTAATGAAATCAGAACAATGAGAGAGACATTACTATTACCTAACTGTGCGTATGCTGCCCCCTTGTTACCATCATCCCCAGATGTGAGACTGGTGAACAGTGTAGAACACAACACATGCAGCGGAAAAGAATGCATTTCTCCTGCCAACAAGGTCCAAGCCAGATGCAGAGATGCATTTCTGGCTGTTCTGCTTGTACAGGGTTGGGAGACAGGGGCAAGGCCTGCTCCAGGCAGTGTTTCTGAGCCTGGATTCTTACTTTAAGAATGGTATTCATTGGCCTACAGACATTTACCGTGCTATATACCATGTGTTCCCCTTCAGTTGATTGAAATGCACCTTGCATCTACTCACAAAACTGCTTCAGTCGTTTATTGGTCATACTAAGTAATGTTCAAAGTAGATTTTGCTTTTGCTGGTCTAAATAATGACTGAGTCTCAATCATTCCAGCCTTGATAAATTAAATGATAATGTGTATGGTACCTCATTATGTACCTCAACACAGGTACAAATAGTCCTCCCACTGCCATTTTGTTGTGCACTAGTGTAACAACGCAGCCTCTGGAGGGACACAACTGAGAGTATCCATTCAGGACAAATTGCTTAGAGCAGGGCAGACATAGCCCACGGCTGGGGTTCTTTGCGCACCAAACCAGCCAAACAGAGAGGACTTCAGTTTTACCCCACTAGCTAACCAGAAGTCATACAAGCAATTCCCTTAGACACTCCAGTTTCCCAGTATCACCACCAGCACTGCTCATTATGGGGATGAATGGTTATGAAAACCAATACCCCCATAAAAGAAAAAAGGTTCTCCTGATCCCAAAGGACCAAGCCCCAGACCCAGGTCAATATACAAGTCAGATCTTACCCAGAAATCATGCTGTTGCCAATCCTTTAGAATCTAAAATCTAAAGGTTTATTCATAAAAAGAAATAAAGATGAGAGCTAAAATTGGTTAAATGGAATCAATTACATACAGTAATGGCAAAGTTCTTGGCTTGGCATAACTGTGCGTATGCTGCCCCCATGTTACCATCATCCCCAGATGTGAGACTGGTGAACAGTGTAGAACACAACACATGCAGCAGAAAAGTATGTATTTCTCCTGCCAACAAGGTTCCAGCCAGATGCAGAGATGTATTCAGGCTTGTAGCAGTGATGGAATAAACTGCAGATTCAAATCAAAATCAAGTCTCTGGAGTACATCCACAGCTTGGATGGGTCATTCAGTCCTTTGTTCAGAGTTTCAGTGTAGCAAAGTTCTTCCAGAGGTAAGAAGCAGGATTGAAGACAAAATGGAGGGGTTTCCAGGACCTTTTATGTCCTCTGCCATGTGGAAGGACACCCCTTTGTTCTTACTGTGGAAAATCACAGCAGCAAGATGGAGTTTGGAGTCACATGGGCAAGTCACAGTTCTTTACATGGAGAGCAACCATTGCTCACATGCTACCTTGAACGTTCCCAGGAAGACTTTTCATGTGAATTGGAGTCTCCCAAGGTCCATTGTCAGTTAAGTGTTTTTTGATTGGGCACTTAAGCTGCAAATTCCTTTCTCAAGAAGCTGACCAAATGCTTCACTAATGCTACTTGGAATCAGACACATTGAGATACAAGTAGATAGCCAATATTCATAATTTCAACTACAAAAATGATACACACATACAGACAGCATAATCATAACCAGCAAATTTCAACCTTTCTATAGACACCTTACTGGACCTCCTTTGTACAGGATTTGGTGCAACTATAGGACCTTGGTTGCAACAATGATCTATATTGGTCACAGTTCTTGTCAATAATGTCACAACTAGTGATTGCTGAGGTAGTCTGTCTGGTCCGTTTTCTACTCTCCACTACACAAGGGTCAACTTGCCCAAAAGCTTCTTTTTCAGTACAAATATCACTGAAAACATGAGGGAGCTAAGTTTTCAATTTCAGAATAGAGAATTTCTGGTGATATACCCGTGGCAACTTCTGGATAACTTTATTATCAACATCTCAGGCATGAAAAGCATCTTATGAGCATAGTGCCAGATGGGCAGAGGCTGATGTTTGGATTCTGATATGGAGTGAGCTGGAGATTCAGGCGGAGCGGAGTGACTGCAGAAGAAACACTTGGGTATATAGCCTTACCAAATGGCCAGTATTTGACCAGCCTGGCTGTTATTTATGGATTTGCCAGTTGCCAGAAAAATAATTTAATCTGCCAGGTTTTTTTTTACATAGGTTTAAAGATTTTCATTATTATGACAATACACTGGGATATCTAATGTTAAAAGTTTCTGTGTCCAGCTCAAGATGTTGCAATGTTCCCACTTCCGTAGTATAAACAATAACAGATCAAAAACTGTTGAAAATACAGCAGCTGTCTGCCTGAAAACATGCAAGCACATTGTGGTCATGTGTGAGAGAGGATTTGAGTCACGTGAGAGTGATAACATTGCACGTCTCCTTGATCTTATCTATATGTGTTATCTCTCTAGATAGTATAAGTGGCTGTTCAAGGGACGAGGGGTTGCTGAGTTGCCTTATGGTTGGTGGTTGAGGTTGCTGTGGGCTTGCCTTGGGGAGTTGAGGCGGGTGCCAGGGTTTTTTTCCATTTCAGAGGTGGTAACCCTAGGGTATATCATCATATTTAGGTCTTGTGATGGGGTATACTGGGTGCGTTGAGGCTCCCTGCTGGAGGCCTCATGGTCCTACCACACCCTGCCCCAGAAAAGAAGCAGGGAAGGTGGGTCCTCCAGGCCTGCCTAGAAAGCCTGCAGGGAAGCAGCCAATCTGAGTTCAGCAGGCTCAGTTAAAAGTTGCTGCAGGGCCTGAGCAGGTCAGTTCCTGGCTGGCACCAGAGGAGTAAAGACGGATGCTCCTTGCTGGAGCTCAAGGGAGAACCAGCAGATGGGTTCTGGTGGCATTGGCATTTGGTGAGTAAGGAGAAGAGTTGAGAACTTCAGCCCTGAGTTAAGAGTGAAGCGAAAGAGGGTAAGTGGAAAGTGGCCCAGGGAATAGCAGCAGCAACTATTGGAGGAAGCAGTACATGGCTGCTGTCTGTAGGATCCCTGGGTTGGGACCTGGAGTAGTGGGTGGGCCCAGGTCCCCTCAGTGGCCAGTGATGAAGTGGCCTAAGCCCCAAGGAAGGGATAAGACTCTGCATTAAAAGCCCAAGAAAGGGGCTGGGAGTTTAAACAGGCCCAGGGACAGGGCTGAAGCTCCTGAAGAGGTCTAACCATTGGTTGTAACTTTGTTACTCCAGAAGGAGTTCCTTCATGCAGTGGACTGTTTGTGATTTGGCCGGAGGGCTGAGCCACTGAAGACTCACCTGACAAGGCCTAGAGCTGATGGAAGGTGCTCATGAGAGGTGAGCACGTCCTGTCACACGTCTCCAAGCAACTTGCTAAGCTCAGCACTATCCAGATTGGAAATCTGTGTTGGCAGAAAATTAAAAGTTTAAAAGTCCTTTTGAAGAAAACAAAATGTAATAATGAAAAGTCTAGGGTTACATGAAACACTACAAGGAGTTGGCCAACAGTTGCTGTTGAACAATCAACCAACAAGATGCTGGTGGCTAGATCCCCTGGGAGGAGTGGAGGCTGCAAACAGCCAGGGGATCAGGGATCCAAACCTGCTAGTCTTGCAGATCCTCTTTGGGGAAGAGAGGCCAGGAAGCAGAGGTGGCTGTGGACTAGTAGCAGAAATATTAGCTGTCGAGGAGGAAGACAAATCAGATTGTGAAGGAACCTCTACACTAGGTCAGTAGCTTTGTATGGTAAAATTATTCATTGGACACTTTTATGCAGCCTCTAAATCGTAGGGAAGTGATTTCTGGGACCTCACAGGCATTAGCGTTTGTAAAAGGATGGGTGTAGGTTCACAAGTGTCCACTTCTTTTCCTACTCTGTCAGTACCAGTGTTGTCAACTCTTGCAATTTTATCATGAGTCTCGCAATATTCAGTGTTATTCTTAAAGTCCAACCGTTGGAGTCAGGTCATTATAGGAGAATCTCAGCTTTCATTAAAAAAGTAGGTTTCAGAGTAGCAGCCGTGTTAGTCTGTATCCGCAAAAAGAACAGGAGTACTTGTGGCACCTTAGAGACTAACAAATTTATTAGAGCATAAGCTTTCGTGGGCTATCGCCCACTTCATTGGATGCATAGAATGGAACATATAGTAAGAAGATAGATAGACAGATAGATACATACAGAGAAGGTGGAAGTTGCCATACAAACTGTAAAAGGCTAATTAATTCAGATGAGCTATTATCAGCAGGAGAAAAAAACTTTTGTAGTGATAATCAAGATGACCCGTTTAGACAGTTGACAAGAAGGTGTGAGGATACTTAACATGGGGAAATAGATTCAATATGTGTAATGACCCAGCCACTCCCAGTCTCTATTCAAACCCAAGTTAATGGTATCTAGTCTGCATATTAATTCAAGCTCAGCAGTTTCTCATTGGAGTCTGTTTTTGAAGCTTTTCTGTTGCAAAATTGCCACCTTTAAGTCTTTTACTGAGTGGCCAGAGGGGTTGAAGTGTTCTCCTACCAGTTTCTGAATGTTATGATTCCTGGTGTCAGATTTGTGTCCATTTATTCTTTTGCGTAGAGACTGTCTGGTTTGGCCAATGTACATGGCAGAGGGGCATTGCTGACACATGATGGCATATATCAAAGCAGTAAGTTTCATTGAAACTGGCACAATCCTGCAAAATGTTTGTCTCAACAAATTGGCATTTTCTGCCAAAAATAGTAGTTTCCTGACTCAGAAATGAGAATGCACAGAAAAAGAACACATAATTTGTCATTAAAAAAATCTCATGACTTTTAAGCCAGTCTCACCCTTTGAGGAGATCTGACTCATAGTTTTGGAATACTTAGGACTGGCAACACTGCAGCACTCAGTGTTGCCCTCTGCCATTCCTTGCTGCTCTCTCAACCTCTGCACAAATAAGAACTCTACAGTAATTGTTCTGTTCCAATCCATCCTACCCCAGCCACCCCTATTTGAATCATGGACTGCCATTACCAGTCAGGACTGATCCAAAATGGCAGACAGTGTAGGGGAGGAGGATGGATTTAAAAATGTACTCACTGTCTGCAATGTAAAAGAGTTAGCAAAAAACAAAATGTAATTTTAATCCTAGAAAATAAACCATTGTCACTATGACCAAAGCAATTTCATCAGCTTGTATCTGTTGGTATTTGGTTCCTCTGAACATGCAGACACAATCACATCTTTGGTTTGCAGGCATGAAGAGCAGCATCGTGCTGGCATTTCAAACAGCAACACCTGAGCAATTGCAAGACAGATAATTTTAGACAATTGTAAACACAATTTTGGAAATCTATTGAGGTGCAACAACCACAAGCGGCCTAGCATAACATTCTGTTTATTTTCCCCTAGACTGCAGCACAGTCTTAAACAGCAATATCAGATAAATGCCTATACGCCAGTCTTTCTCGACAATTCTGTTTTATTTAGATTCTTAGACTACTCCTATCAACAGGGAGTCTGAGCGCCTTCCAGAAGTGCAGTTAGCATCATGAATAGCATCTGTCACATCTGGTGCTCTCCTTATTCTCTAAATGGGGAAAAACTATAGAAAAACTTTCTATTAAATTATATGGCAATGAGCTTATCCCTCGGGACCCTACAGTGGCTAATAAAGTCCCTCCAATCCATGAGCAGCTGTGGGGAAACCATATGGGAAAATAATGCTGTAGCATTTGTGTGAGGATTATCACTAACTCTTTGGAATAATTCCTTTTTTCCTCTGGAGCAAGGTGATATTTCCTGGAGAAATGGCTGCCTGTAACAATTCAACTGCCTACATTTTAAATAATTACTAAATTTGCTCTGATCATAGCATGCCCCCAAACCTCTTCTTGCCACATTAGTAGCTTCCCCTATCACTCCTTGATCTTGCTAGGGACAAGTCCTGAGCATGAGCCCATAAGAAGCGGGCTGACCTTACCATTGCACTCTAGGGACCAGACTATGCTTACACTAAAGCTTGGTATTCAAAAATATATTGGTATTGTTATCTTTCTCAAAACAGTTTGCATTCCCAGCTTGTGTGATGGAGTGCTATAACTACCAACTTCATTATTTTCAATTCAGTCACTGGAATGGATGATCCAGCTCTTGAGGGAAGGTGTGCAGACTGCCCGCCCAGGTTCACACTCCCAGAATAATCAACAACAAGCACAAAAGCAAGGAGGATCTGTGTGTGGAATTAGAGAGAATATACAGATTTAAGGAGATGTAGTACAAGGAAAACAAAGACAGGCAGAAAAAGTATTAATAGGTGACAAATTCAGTTCGGACAAAGACCGAGTAGATGTCTTAAAAGACAAACTCGGCCAACCTAAAATACATAAAATGAGTCGGTGTTCCTTTAGGGAACTGTCCCGACTTAGACGTCTGGTTACCCATACAGGAGGACTTTACACACCAATCACACAAGAAGAAAAGTCGGGTTCGTCAGAGCGATGCCCGGTGCAACACACAAAAGGAGCCCACAGGCTACTGCCTCAATCGCCCTTTCTTTCACACCAAGGGTTTTACCCAAGGCGCGGTGCGGCTGCGATTGTGCAGATTTCACTCACTCAGACCGTGGGGACAGGAACCGTTTGGTCAGCCGATCCCCGAACGGAGACGGCACCCAGACTCAACACACCACAGGGAGGACGGATAGATACAGAGACAAGACAGTCCTCAGTCCGGACAAAACACAGAAATAATTACTTGACCAGTTTCCTGATGTCAGATCCCAGGATCCCTACCAGAACAGAGTTGGAACCAACAGGTTCGATGGCATAAACTTCACTGTGGTCATGCACCCTTACGTTCTGGCGGAGGACCGCTCGGGCCAAATGCCCCGGTGCCGGCTTGCCACGGCCATCCTAAGAATGGTCAGGAGTCACACGGCCCCAGTGAAGATGGTTGCCATCTCGGTGGAACCTCCAAATTGTCAAAGTCAGATTCAAGATTCACTGAATTTGTCAGACCACTCTGTTTATTAGCAAAGCGCTTTGCCAGTGCACCCAGATATGTGTGAGCCTCCTGCGAAAAGCTCAAGCCAACACATTTATACAGACAAGCCAAAGCCAATCCAACATAGGAGACAAAAGGAAGCAGAAACTGACAAATATACATATCTTATTTGCATACTAACGTTTACCAATCTCCTAGCTCAGTAGGAGCTCTAAGTTAATTAGTTTGAGGACCCATTGTCTCACACTCCTTAATGTTTCTCTTCCTGACAACTATATTTCAACAAATCTTTCAAGCAGCATTTCTTTAATGAATTATAATTTCAATATAATTCATTCTACTTTCACATAGGCTAGTAAGAAATAAATGGGTGATTATATGGCTAACTAAATGCAACGTGAGACAGACTTGTGGAGGAAGGCAGATTGTTCCACCTATTGCTTTTTAATGTTTTTTTGGGACTATAAACTCAATTGCTGACTGTGCCCTCAGCCACCCAGTACCTCCTGCCAAGGTCACTCACTGCTTCTGGAAAATATATATGAAATTCACTACAAGAACCTTTGGAAAAGTTGATGTGTATATTATATTTTTGGCAGCCAACCTGTTTCATAATAAAGTTTATTGTTGAAATAAAGGTTTATTTGTACTTAAGTTATGTCATCTCTCCCTGAAAACATTGCATTCTGTAACCTAGCTCATTACAACACAGAGAAACATACATTAACTTACTCCTTCACCCTTAAAATTTAGAACAGAGGACCAAACTATGGGGGCCCAAGCAAGATGGTTGTCTGAGCTCTGAGGGGATTATTCTATTGAATAATCTGTCTCCATCCGTACCCTAACCTCACTGTAACACCCCAAAAGCAGGGCACCAGAAGGCATGGCTCCCATAACAGGCTACAAGGATACAAGGCTAAAGTCATTTGACTACTAAAGCAGATATCAGAGATTTACGGTCTGAATTCAAAGCTGATTTATTCTCCAAGATTTCTGCAATCAAAGAGGAAGTAAGTATAGAATTTGTAGGCTGGATGCTGCATTGGGAGAAATATCAGAGAAGAGAGAAAGCTGCTTCTTCCTTGTGTAAATTTGCTGGAGCCAAAAGAGAGAAGAAGCAACCTGAGAATTTAAAAAGTGTCTGAAAAAGATGAGGAAGGAAATCGTATTATCTTTTTACAAACCTTTATGAATTAGTTGTTAAATTTCATGTCAGTGGCAGAGATTAAAATAGAGTACCCCGCCTTAGGCTGGTAGCAGACCCAGGGATTTCATTATGAGCTTTCACCTTTACCAAAAAAAGTCTTGATTATGAAAAAAGGCTAGATATCACCCAGAGTCTATACTCCAAGGCCACAATCTTCAGTTTCTCCTAGATCTTCTGCTCTAATTTTTAAAAAGAGTAAAGCGTTGAGTAAAATTAAAGCAGCAATTAGAAGGGTAGAGATTCTCTGTAGCAGAGAATTTCCATTCAGCTTCTAACATCGGATTTGTACAGCGAGAGCCTCTCGGGAAGGGAAAACTACACTCGGGATAGAGATCCAAAGCTCTATCATGCAAGAAAAGTCTGTGGTAGTAACTGTTGAAGAGCTGGTCAGAAAATAATGGCAGAGAGTGAAGCTGAAGAAAAGGAGAGCGAGAAAAGAAAAGAAGGACCTTCTCTAGTAGAAGTGGAGCCAAGGGACTTAGATACCAGAAATGTAATTGAAGATTAACTAGAAAGGATTTAAATGAACAGTTGAACATTAGCTATGATTATGGTGAAAAGAAAAGATTGTGCAGTTCAATTTAATTGTGGTAATCAATTAGCAGTAACTGCCCCCCCCCCCCGAGTAAATTAAAGTTATTAAGGGAACATGCAGTGAAATGGAATTTGTATCGGGGGGGAGGGGGCAAGAGAGACCCTCCCCCATAGGGATGGTAAAGATTGGAGAAAATAGATAGTGGGTGTGTAGGGACCTATAGGAAGTTTGTATAATTCATTATGTAATTCAAAATATCAGGTGATAGGCTGTTCTCCTGGGGGTGAATAATGAGGTCTCGGTGGTGGAAAATTTACCTTACTTGGACTGCAAGGGATAAGCAGCACAAGTATTCATGGAGAGAGTATGGGGGTTTGGTGTTCAGCCAAGTATATAATTCATTTAGGGACTGATTTATATGAAAAGTCAAAACAACATATTTGGATTCAAAATTAGAAATATACATGAAATTTATCCAGAGGAGAGAACTGGGGAGGAAGTGAGGGGCTTGATAAAAAAGGGAAACAACTATGAAAACTTACAAGCAGAAATCATGCCATATTCAAGTACAGTTTGACAGTTGTGGGAACAATACATTTAGTAATGAGATGTGTATCATAGAAGGGTTTGTGTCAGTAAATGGCCTCTTCATAGTCAAGTTTAGAGTGTTGGTGTTCCAATTCAACAAGGCACTTAAGCATGTACCTAGTAGCAAATATCTCAGAGCAAGTAATTAATTCCTGGGGGAGCAAACAGCTCTGCATCTCCCTCTATCAGTGTTATAGAGGGCGAACAATTTATGAGTTTACCCTGTATAAGATTTATACAGAGTAAAACAGATTTATTTGGGGTTTGGACTCCATTGGGAACTGGGTATCTGGGTGCTGGAGGCAGGAGCACTTCTTAAGCTGTTTTCAGGTTAGCCTGCAGCTTTTGGGGGACGTGGTTCAGACCTGTGTCTGTGTTTGCAGCAGGTTAGCGTGTCTGGCTCAACAAGGCAGGGTTCTGAACTCCCAAGCTGCCAGGGAAAATATGCTGAGACTACTTCTGAGCCCATCAGGTGGCAGTTCACAAGGGGGTTTCTGTGACCCAACCCGTCACACCTGTTTTTTGGTTGTGTTTTTTTGCCTTCCTCTGCAGCACGGGGCACAGGTCACTTGTTGGTTTGAACTAGTGTAGATGGTGGATTCTCTGTAACTTGAAGTCTTTAAATCATTATTTGAGGACTTTAGTAACTCAGAGGTTAGGGGTCTATTACAGGAGTGGGTGGGTGAGGTTCTGTGGCCTGCAATGTGCAGAAAGTTAGACTAGATAATCATAATGGTCTCCTCTGGCATTTAAGTCTATGTGCTTAACATTAAGTACCTGAATAATCCTATTGAAATCAGTGGGCTACTCATGTAATTAAGTACCTTGCTGGATCAGGGCCCTGGTTAGAGGAAAAGACTCCATGAGCTGGACTCCATAATCAGGGTCTTTTCTCCTACAACTTGTTATTGAGTCATGGGATCAAATAGACCACTGATGAAATCGAGTGCAACAACACTGAACATTGAAGTCAGGAGTTTTGTGTCTGATGACGAATGTAGTCCATTTTCTTTAAAATATTGCTATGATTGTTAGTTGAGCATGTTGTGGGAACTGCCAGAAACTAATAATAAATGATCTCTCTTTCTCTCTCTCTTTCTTTGCAGCATCTGGATACTGGATTAAACCACACGAATCTGTGCCTACCAGGAGGTAGCTTGGATAAAGATATTTTGGTATTTTTAAGCCTGGGGCATGGATGATTGAACTCAAATGTACAGAAGAAAATATGTAAAGCTAGGTGCTAACCACGGTGTCTCAGCACAGAGTGTGCAGGAGGTTGCTGCAGTAACCTTGTTATGGCTCCAGTTCAGCAAAGTATCCCTTTAACTTTGAGAATAAATAGGTTTACTGACTTTAAGGGGACTACTCACATAGTTAGAGTAAAGCACATGGTTAAGTGCATAGCTGGTTCTGGGTCGATAGGAACAAGGCTAGAGAGAATAGTGGCATAGGGAGATGTGTAGGTCACCCTTCAGAAGTACCAGTTTGAAGAGCTCACAGAAGACTTATGAAGGCATAGCCAAGCACCACAGAAATTCAGGAGGCAAAAAAGTTGTTGCAAATTCTGAGAGCTTGTAAATGTGGAAATCTCTAAATTGAATATGCCACTATAGAATGTTATGTCTCTACAAAGGACAGAGGCCACGTTACAAGATTGAATAGTTCTGTGTGAAGGAGTAGAAAGGAAGAATATTGATGCATATTAACTAACTAAAACATATTTAATTTAATCAGTGCTAAGAACACTAAATACAGTTATGCTGATTAAATATTTATTTGTGTAAATATAAAAATATCACTAAGAAAATGCATAATCTGTCACCAATATTTACACAGAAATAATGTAAAAATGAGACATTTTAAATTGGTGATGTTTTGTTTGACATTAAAACCATCTAACTGATTTTGTATTCTCTACTTTTGATTAACAGACATTGTAACAGGGTACAAAACAATTTTTGTATTCCTATAATAATTGTTTTTTAAACCATGAATGCTGAAAGGATTAGCACAAGAATTATGGATGGAGCTATTTGTTAGTATTGTGCATAAGAGTTTTTGTTGAGCAATTAAAATACAAGCTATGATAAACTTCTAAAGTTAGTTTTCTCCTTTCTTAAATTTGCAAGTGACAAATGTTCAAAATTGCACTATTGGCTAGATTCAATTGAGTGAGTCTGAGGGTGTGAATACAGCTAAGGTCAAGCAGAACTTGCTCAGATCATTGGTGCAGAGGACAGAGCTTTAACTAGTTCATTCATTACATGAAGAGGCCATAGAATTCCCATGGGCTTGCTGCAAACTGGTATTTTTAATACAACTGCACATACTGTATAAGTGCCACATAATAGTACTCCCTAGATACCTTGGTTACTGACTCCTGGCTCTGGAGTTCCAGTGGGGACCCTTTTAAACTGCTCTTCCCCTAGGTGGGGGCTGGTTATAGTGTGTCAAGGGCACTGAAATTGTTGATGGTGAGCATAGTTGCAGGAAGGGGGGTACAAAAAGGGACCTGTAATGAACAGGGAAGATGGGGGCATAGCACCAGCGGCTGACCCTACTTTCTCTGCTGCCCATCTATTTCAGTTCCGCCAGACTCTGGCAGGTTTGACAGCCTCTTCAGTAATTGCCCTCCACATTTGGCTGTGTAACCTAATGTTCCAAGTAAGGGCAGAAGTAGCCAGCAAATGGAGCTGCTCCGAGTAGGTGGACTCAGCATGGCAGCCAAGTGGAGAAGGATTTTTTTGAAGTCAAACGCTGAAGTACAGACGATGTCAAAGCAAGAGAATATAAAGAATTAAATCTTTGTAAAAATATCCTTTAAATAAGATAACCAGCCTAAGAAGGGGAAACAAATGGCTGGTGAGAGAAACACTAAAATAAAATTATCAAGTAGTAACCACTGATGTGGATCTGTTGGAGGAACACGGATATAAAGAGAAAGATACGGTGGAGAAGGATTCTCTGTAGGGACTTGAATTGCCACTATGATTGACACTGGATAAAGAAAAAGAGAGTGAAGATGAATATAATCTGGTGCTTCGAGCACTCACCTAGAGACTCAAGTTTCCAGTGACTAATTATTTTATAAAAATTGGGAGAGTTTTGGAATGCCCATACTAAAATATCCCATAGCCTAGTGGCTAGGGCACACTCATGTAATGTGGGAAACTCAAGTTTAAATCCCTTTTCTACATCAGGTGCATGGGGGAGTTAAACCTGAGTCTCCGACATCTCAGTTTAGTGCCCCACCCACTCAGCTAAAACTTATGATGAAGGTGGTAGGAACCACC